GGGGGCTCGCATGTTACCACCCATGGAGTTTCCGCCGCAATTGCTGGAATCACCACATTAGCATTACGCCAATTGAACTGTTCACTAAAATACTCTGCCCACCGATCAAGTCGTTGTTCTCTATCGTGCTTTGTCCACTTTGATCGCAAATGGTCTCACTGACCGGTATGCGACGACCTCCGGTGCTGCGTATCAGGTGAAATAGTCTTTGACTATTCCCTGACGCAGAAGCTACCTCCATTTCACTGGCTATTTCGGCCCACCAATTTTCACGATCTTTCTTAAGGCTCAGTTCCACAAGCAAAGTTTGTAGCTGAGTGCATCGCAAATCTAATCTGATTCCGCTGTTGGTCTACTCCACTATGTCGCGATTCTCCCAGCTTCTGTCCCAGGTTCTCCTAATAACGTGCGCAGACGATGGTGAGCTTACTGAGGAGGCGATTTCTGCCGATGACCAATGAGTCGAAGTGCGAAGCGCAGCAGAACTAGCGCATGATCCGACTCAACGCAGGTGGACCAATAGGATCTGCAATTTTGTACTGAGCCACGTCAACGGACGAGCTATCCCTCAGCTTGTCGCCTCATCAATAGGAAATCATCAGGACGCTGTTTGAATTTGTCATCATTGTCCTCTTCCACCACATCCGCCGGAAGAGCATTCCAAATATTGGTCACTCTCCTGGAGAGACGGTTCACTGATGGTAATCCAGATGATTCCTATTTCCGAAGCGCGAGACGGTGACCGCGGGTGCGTGCATCGCTGCGCAGTGAAAACTTTTCTTTGAACTGCTCCCCCAAGTCAACACGGATAAACTTTTTAGTCAGCAGGATGACCCCAAGAATTCCGTCTGTAACTCTCCATGTATAGCTCCGTACTGACGAGTCGCTGTTCGTAAGTCTGTGTCCGTAGACCCGCAACAAGCCAGGTAGCTTCTCTCTGCTTACGTTTGATTTTCGCCATCTCTCCCCTTGTTATGGGAAAAGCCGCCGCTCTCCCATACTCCAGAAGAGAACGGTTGGCCGTACAGAAGTTTGAAGGTCTGTTTCGACAGTGGCCCAAACGATCGGCGAATTGCTCCAAGGATACCCCAGGCAGAAGAACATACTTTATCCGTATGGCCTCTGGTCTTGAGGGACGATGCGATGATCACCCCGAAGTTCCTCTCGTGGTCACTGCTCCTAAGGAGAACATCATTTAGTGTGTAGACCAGTCTGAAGTCACCACGACCGATTCTCATACGTACACACTTACCGATGTTGATGGGGAGCGCCCACTCTTTCGCCCGCTGGGATAGACTATCCAAATAAGCTTGTACAGTTAACACGTCTAGTGACAACTGAAGTGGTCTCCATAGTTTCAGATAGTCTGCGTAGAAGAGACATGGTGAACGTAGCCGACTGGGAAGATCCTTGATGTACAACAGGAACAGTACGGGGCCCAGAACTGAACCTTGAGGGACTCCACTGAGAACTGGATGCGCAGCGGATATTGAATCACGGATACTCACCGCAAAACGTCGTCTCTTCAGAAATTTTTCCACCCAAGCGACTATTGAATTTACCACTTTAAAGCTTCTTACCTTCAAAAGCAGTCTGTCGTGTCAAACCCTGTCGAAGGCTTTGCTGAAGTCGACATAGACAATGTCCGTGACAAACCCACTGGCTTTGGCGGCACATAGTTCCTCCTTGGCCAGAAGAAGGTTTGATGTGCGGGATCTCATCGGGTGAAAACCATGCTGTTGGTCGCAAAACAGTTAACACTCCGTCAGATGTTGATGCAATCTGCTAGAGATCAAGCGCTCCATCGCCTTGCAAGAGATGCAAGTTAGACTGACGGGACGGTAATTCGCCGAATCTGCCCTTGAACCACTCTTAAACAGAGGCGATATCAGTGCACTCTTCCAACCTTCTGGTAGCCGACTATAGTTTAAGGAACAATTGAACAGGGCACAAAGGGGGGGGCGGATATCACAACCGCGAGCTCTTTCAACACCTTTGGATGCAGTCTATCAGGACCCGGGGATTGGTTGGNATTGGTTGGTGTTCAGGTGCTCCAGGACGACCTGCACTTCACGCGGGTTGAACTTCGGGACAGCCAAAACGGGTGAGTTAGGATACTGAGTGTGCGGACCTTCAACGGCTCCTATGACTCATACACTGATGCGTAATGCCGTGCGAATATATCCGCCTGTTCACCTGGATCATCCTTTGGCATTCCTTGGTCCAAGAGTGGTGGTAGGGTGGTAGGAAATTCGGTTCCTCGTCTCAGATAAGCGAACAGCCTCTTGGGCGCGGTAGCAGCGGTCGCTGCTAAGCTGTCCTCGAAGGCCGCCCGGTTCCAGCGTTTGGCTGAGGTACACTGATTGCGGATATCTTTGAAGTGGTCGTACCCTCTACCGATTTGCTGGAAGAATTTCTAAGCCCTGTTGCGTCTGCGCAGAAGGTTTCGAAGTTCACGGGCGAACCATGAGGGGCCTTTAGCATACGTTCGTACTACCCTGGGTGGAGCGGACATGCTGACTAGATTGATGATGTTGTTCTTGAACTGAGCCCACCTGGTTTCAACATCATCATCGATATCCTCATTTGTTGGCCACTGAAGACACTGTGCAGTCGCTCGCAGTTCTTCGTATTGTTTATTCCACACATTGGGACGCTCCTGAGCATCTTTCACGATATGAAAGTTTATGCGCCAATAAATTACAATAGCCACATGGTCGCTCGATCCGAAAGGATCCGGTCGAACTATGTCGACCACATCAGAACGTCTCGGTGACAAGACAAGGTCTAACACCGATGCCGAACTCACTTGGATGCGAGAGAGATCCTGAATATGTTGATATAATGAGAGGGATTCTAACAGCTCATATAGCTGATACTCAAACGTACCATCATGGTAACCCCAAACTCCGGCCTCAAAGTTGATATTAGGAGCGTTGAAATCACCCAGAAGCACACAACGTCCGCCTGCGGTCCACCGACGAATGCTGTGCAGAACATCCTCAGCAATGGCTGACGGGGTTCTGTATACCAGTCCCACTGTTAAGTGCCCCGCCCCACCTTCACGTTGCACCACACTGCCTCGGCGTACCCTTCAGGATCAGCGATCGATTGTAGGTGAACCGCAGGACAATCTTCTCTGGTGTAGAGGACCACCCCACTACCGGATCTCGAGACTGGCCTGTCAGTACGAAACATGCCGTATCCTGAGAGTGAAATTTCAGCGTTGGACACTTCCTGATGAAGCCGTCTCTGGTAAGGCTATCATCACTGGAGCATGATCGACAACCCATGCTTCCAATTCATCCCGCTTATTCAGCATTCCCCTCACATTTGAGAACACGAAGGGAACCCCACGGCCAATGCTTGGTAGTGCGACTACTGTGGCCCTGTCGCCGAGGGCGACAGGGGCGCTTGTTCTGACAGCACCGAAACAAGTGGAAGCCAGTGGGTCCACATCTTCCCCACCACGCGAAAATTTCTGATCCCGAGGTCACACTGTTAATCCGCCCGGTGTGAAGCTCCGTCAGTGCCGCTTTCAGTTGAATCCGCTCCTCTGGCGCAAGATCACGCGGCAACCTGACCTTTTCCCTTTGCAGGCGCAATGCACGTTGAAGGATGAGACGAGCTTACTCGGCATTACCAAATATCACCTTCAGGGGTCAGGGATTACCGGTTGTCAACGGTTGACCTAGTCGGAGGGCGGATTTCAACCTGATGGAATTCACTAACACCGTCTCAGCGCCACCGAACACCTTCTGCAGAGAGCCACGTAAAAGTAGTAGGCCACGGACAAGGCGTGACTGGAGAGCTGTCCACCGACCCCGGTAATTTAACCACAATAATGCACTGATCCCTAGATGGTATACTCGTACGGTTTAGTGCGGTGGCATTTATCAGATGAAGAGAAAAAGGTGCAACTGCTACGAGCGTGCCAAATGTCCGAGCTCCGCTAGATTCCCGGTAATCTGGAAGGTTTCGTGTCCCGCGACGAATAGCCGGGGGAGAGGTAGACACCATCACTGAAGGCCCGGGTTGTTGAACCTCGCACGTAAAGGACGGGCTGGACTGTTTGCTACGTGTCATCACAGGACATGGTCAGCTAACGATAGCATCCGCAGAAGTCAATGAGCTAATCAACCGCTGGATGACAGTGGGCGGAATATCCCCTGGCGATGATGCCACGGTCGGTGGAGTGATGATACGTGATCCGACAATCGAGGGACGGTTTTCCAGACGCGCCAGAGCCACCGAATTAAATATTGTGGCACATCTATTACAAACCACTTGAAGAACATCTGCTTTACATGAACTCAGTAAATCGTACAGCTTAGGGTTGACCTTAGTACAACCTAGGTGCAGCCAGTGATCACAACCGTCACACTGTAAGGCTTTTGTGTGAGGACCCACTCTTTCGTGGTAAGAGACACACG